CGAGTCTGAACCAGGTAACAATCTTGCGCTAACGAATAAACTCTGAGCCAGTGAACAACATAGCGCTACTGAATCCAGTCTGAGCCAGTGAATGAAATAGTGGTATTGAATTGAGTCTGGGCCAGTGCACAAAATTGCCCCTACTGAATCAAGTCTGAGCCGGTAAACAAAATAGCGCTAATGAATCGAGTCTGAGCCAGTGAAAGAAATACCGCTACTTAATCGAGTCTGAGGCAGTGAAAGAAATAACACCACTGAATCAATTCTAAGGCAGTGAACGAAACAGTGGTATTGAATCGAGTCTGAGCCAGTAAACAAAATAGCGCTACCGAATCCCGTCTGAGCCGGTAGCGCTCATTGAAAATGCTAGTTTCAATAACTAGCGCCACTGAACCCAGTCTGAGCCAGTGAATGAAATACAGCTCGCTCCAGTTCCAGTGGTTCTACCACACAGGGAGGCGAGAGACATCCGTGCTTTCCTCAGGTGAAATTAACTGTGCTTTCTAAACGTTTGAGCTTCGATATCTGCAGTGCGATCCTGCATGCCTGCTCTCGAGATGTATTTAAAATGACCCTTGTCATGTATGGACCGGATATCGGATACCGGATATTTGCATCAAACAAAATTCTGCAAATTCACTATTGGTGAAAAGGGCCTGAGTTGGCAATTATTTGTGAAGCTAGCAATTGTGCGTGTTTCATATTCTTTATATTCCATTAAAATAAAACCAACAACAACTTTTGTTGTCGGAGGAGTAGCGTTTTCAAAGAATCCATCTTTTAAGTTTGCGTTTCACCCACCTGATACGTTGAAATGACTGCGTTTCGTCTCACAATAGCAACGTTACTTTGTGTTCCCTGGGCCATATGCTGGTGCCCTTCCCCTGCCCGTATCATTAGCTGTTGGAAAAATGGCAGGTTTAGCACTTACAGTACTTTTGATGGCGTGTATTCAGGAGAGCTGCCTTTTGGAAAAAGAAGAAATGTTAAATGGAGACTGGAAGTGTGTTTCTTTTTATGCAACCAACTAATCTCTCAATTCTGTTAACAGCACTTTTCAATGGAAAAAAACAACAACATTTTAAGCCTTTATTTCTAACAGAAAAAGTAGGTAACACTCTCTTACCAAACTTTTTTAAAATTGAAATTGGACATTTAAATTGAAATAAAGTTCAAGGCTCACATGACCTAGCTAATCCACCAGTGAAAAATGGGTATTTGTTAGTCTCTGTTTTTTGTCTGTGTTTAATCATATCTGAAGGTTCCTAAAATCTTTCCGATTGTGATGCTAAAAATATAGCAAAAGATTAAATATTGAACAAATTTGTCCCTGATCATCAAACCCACTGAGAAATCCCTTTAAACAATTAACAGAATTCGACTTGTAAGTCTATTAGAGGGCAATGCAGTGGGATCCAGGAACTCAATAAAAGAGCACTGATTACATTGGCATTAATTCAAGCATTTTATACAGCATGGCATTAGTCATGGTGAAGTCTGAGCCATGAAAGCTTTTGTCACCTCACACATTCTGCAGTGCGAATGACATCTTTTCATCCATTATATATATAAAAAAATGAAATACTAGACCAGTGAATTATTCTGACAAGGTGCTACCTTATGTTTGTGTTGTAATATATACAGTAAACACACGTCTCAATGTGAGTCATATTCTATATATATCATTCTGAAAACTTTCTGGCCGAGAGATGATGTCCTTAAAATATTAAAGATGTCTTTTAAAAAGCTGTGACACCCATTTCTGAACGTTTCGTGAAGTTCAAAATGAAATTTCTTTGCGTTAACTGAATGTCCTCAGCCTTCAAAACTTTGTGTTCTTACTTTCAGAACTTTAACTTCACATAACTGAATTATAGAATTAGTCGTTTTAATTCCATTAAGTGTAGGTGTACACAGCACAGGGAAATATAAATCTATCTATACCTATCTATACCCACTTTTGCTTGAATTCTGTGTCCTGTGATGGTGCTGTATTCATGACGCTATATCAGGTTAAAACAGAAATGGCAACTAAGGAGAAGTGCATTTATAACTGCGAACAGAAGGCTTATCCTTATACAAAGCCAGAACAAGCTACCCAGCCTTGTTGTCGAATTTGATACCATGTTGTCTTTCAAGAAGGAGCTGGGTGATTTCCTGGGTGATTTCCTGAATTAACTGCTAGCAATGGCCTCTTCTGTTTCGGAACAGTAAAAGTTCTTACGTACAGTAAAAGCAAGGCACTGATAGAACATACAGAAGAGGCATGGTGTTTAACAGACATGCTGTCTACTTCTGCACCCACTCTTTCCTTCTTCACCAATAACATCCTTATGTAACAGGATCATTTTTGCCGTTGCCTCATGATTTTAGAACACTTTCCTCTCAGGAAGGTCTCTAAGGTGCTGATGGCACATTAAGTACCATGGAATGAACTCACCCACATTCCCCGGCTTTCAATAAAGATTTTCCTTAAATGCTAATTTGACTGTGCTTGTGCACAGATCATAAGTCAAAACATTTTGATGGGCTGTAATTGCAAAGCCACCACAGTTCGATTCACTTGACCTTTAGAACCTTTAAAGCAATTTCCGTTCCATGCAACAATGTCTTGTTAATTGCAGAAATAAACGCTCGTTTTGTTTCCAATGATGCTTGTGCAAAAAGCGAGCAAAATACTTTTTTTTTTTACCGTATTATGACAATTGCTCTTTTTTTTTACCTTAACCCATATCAGCTGAAATTCAAGTGATCGTTCCCTAAAGTTATGGAGATAAGTATCTGAATACTTTGCATATTTTGCCAGGGCAAAATAAGAAAAGGGTAATCAGGTCCAGGTTTTCAGATTGTCTTGATAGGTTTTTGACATTGAAGGCTCTGTGGCACATAATGTGAAGCACATTGTTTTGAAAATCTTTTATGTCAAAACAATAAAACCTTTCACTCCAAAAATGCGAACCAGGAACATGAAGAATTCTGATTTGCAGTGAAACCCAGAATTTGCTTTTCATTTCTAGTAAACCATTCCCACTTAATATGGTGTACTACAAATGTTTCTGTGCAAATACAGTCAATCTTTACAGTATTCTTTCTATGGTTGTGTTTTGCCTGGGCTGTGAGAATCCCTCAATGCTTCCAAAACAAAAAGCATTATTCTAAAACTGGGGTTTAGATCCAGGTATTACCTCTAAGGAACAATTAATAGATTAAACCTGTGCATATTAAAGTTCATGTGTCTATATCTGTTGATATAACTTTCTAATAACACTAAGGCACCTTCTTTACTGTACGTGAATAATTTTTCACTTATGGAAAGAAATACATTTATATACATAACACCTTTAATATCATACAGCCATATCTTGGTTGTAAAATAACGTATCTTGTGTATCAGAAATTGAAAAGCTGTTTGGAAGATTAGCTGCACCAATGCAATCCTGGCAGGTTCTTCTTGTTGTTACCTCGGTCATGTTCACTTAAAAAATACTGTGAGAAAATGTGTAGTTGGTGATGGATATTGAAAACCTGCCATGTGTTGAATAACATGGGGCTGAAACAAGTTTTTGCTTACACATTGTCTATATCCGTTGTACAAACCCTAGAGATTCTACTAGAGGATTCAGCTAGTTAATGCCAATGGTATTTCTTCAAATGACCTTTTCATGCAATGCCTGTTTATGACTGGCATGAGTTTGAAAAGCAAAAAAAATACTACCACTGGTCTGAGGTCACAACTGGACCTCTAACCCTGAGGCCACCAAAGTATAAAATTCATCTTGGGCTGGGAATTAATTCAAATATTCTGTAGTTTCAGAAAAGCACTCAGCTGATTCAGCACTGAATCAAGCACCTATCAAAGCAGTTGAAAAATAATAAGAACAGATTAAAGGCTAATATTGTTATAGTGGTTTGAAACTTAATTTGAGATACGTTTTATCCAATACCTCAATTTATTTAGTTTTCATTAAGTTGTACTATTTTGTTTTGTAAAAAGAGATCACCATGAGCTGTTTTTAGAAACAATTGTCATAGGTTAGATTTCACCAAAAATATAGTTTTCAGAAATGGGTTTCTAAGAAGAAGAGTCAATCAGTTACATTTTCAAGGATGATGAATACTCTGATATGTCAGATCGAGCTGTTCAGTTTACTGCAGATCATTACATCTGATCTACCGTTTCAGCTGTGTCCTGTTAACAATTTCCATTCCCACAGCGCACTACTGTAAAAAATATGATTCTGTTTTGGATTAAGGAAAACTAGAATCATTTTCCATATACAGTACACAGAATTTACAATAGAAATAACAAAGCCAAGTGAAAAAAAAACATATCATAAAGCCAAGTTTGCCTCTGGGTTTTCAAAAGTACTTTTTTATACATTTCAATGCTTATCAGTATGCATATGATTGAATAAAACTCATTTAGCCAATAAAACACCCCAGTTACTCTGTGTCCCCAGAATTATATGTTTCTGAGTTTGGCATTAATCTTCTAAATTTAAAGAGGTTAAATGTGTTACAGGCTGAGAAGACAATTTGAATAATACTGTTTGATGATCAGCTGTGCTTCCTGTGGAAGGTCTTGATCTGAAAACAATATACTGAAGAGTGAGCATGAGGTAAACACAAGGATTTTCAAATGCTCTTGGTTGGAGCTGTGATTTTGTCTTGCTTCTTCTGTCACAGCTCCTCAAAGGGATTTTATTTTACCTTTTATGCAAACATACAAGAGTCGCTTGTCTTTATTTACCTCTAAAGTATATCAGAGCTTGAACACCCAGAGAGAAGGAATTTTATTTCCATAAGAAGCTGTCTGGGAGATGTTCTAGTAATGAAGAAATACATTTACACAGCGTCTGAAATAACCTTTACTAGACATCTACAGAGAGATGGAAGGACATGAGGGGAATTTGCTTTCAAAAAAGTTCATTTTGTCTACATGTTATTTTTCAGGCCATATACTATATCAAGAAAAAGGAAAAGCATCCATCCAATTTTGTTCAATAAATTAAGTTTATTTTTTTCAACCAGTTTTATATTATTAACCATGCAATCTAGCACTTTTAAGGCTTATTATTTTCCACATCACTGGACACATACTGTCTAACACTAAAATGAAGCATTTATACCATCATTATACATCAACATCTGCACTTATACATATATACATAAATTATTCACACATCTGAACCTTGCTATTCCACCTTCCTATTTGTCTTTTTAGAACATTTAACAGGGAAAAGCAGTGTTTTAACAAAAGGTATAAGAAAAACAGCAAGGCACGCATATTTTATTTCAAAACATTTCCTCATTTCCATCTTAAGAAACATAAAAAAGAAATGGTGTATCGAGTTACGCAGACTGCCAACGATTTTGAAGTACACAACACAATACAGCTGTTTCCAACTTAGTCAGTGTTGCATAGATAGACAACTACTTGATTATTTTGACGACCCGTCAGTTCCGGCCCTGTTCTGAGTTCCTCTTGTTGTTGCAGGAATCAGCGTTTGGATACGGACACCGCGGCCCTTATTCTGCAAGCCTCACACCAGCCAGCAACCAAGCGCAAAAACATTTTGGTCCAACTGGCGCAGTTTTCCACCTTAAACCAAGCAAAGTGAAGCGTCAACAACTGTGAAAACCTGGTAAGGGACATCTAAGAAGGGAAGAGTGAACTCAGGGAATGAGAGACTATGACACCTGACCACCCAGTGGCGCTGAGCTGTGTTGGCTTCCTGTATGTAGAAGTAAGATATGGAGGGAGAACTACCATGCACAGGAGACCGAGAGGGGACAATGGACTCAGAGTGGCGGCAGACCATTGAGGTAGCTCAGTACTGGTGTCCATGATGAGGAGGAAAGAGTGGGCCTGTTGCAGTCTGTGGGCGCCACTAACACAGGAGTCAGAGTCACAGCCACTAACAGCAGGAGCAGCAGCAGCCACATGGCAACGCCAGCATGAAGAACTCTCCATGGAAAAGACGACGGAGACTCCGGATTCCGTGACGGAGCTGAGCAGGGATCAGAAAGGATGCGGCTTCCCTCAGGGCTTGGGGTTGCAGTTTGAAGGAGCCATTTCACCAGATGGTCACTGTAATGGAAAAACAGGAGTTTTTCTTCGGGAGTTTAATAGTCGCTGTCTACTGATGGACAGCCACACATTTAAACACTTTTGTTGAAATTCCCAGAATACAGAAACTGAATTAACCAGGAGTAGTATAGGTAAAAATAAAGTGAAAAAAAGAACACTTCAGAGCGCTTATGAAATCAAACCTCTACGCACAGCCCCAATAAGACTATCTTTCATCTAGATTCTCTTATGACTTCTGTATGAAATATGACAGCGCTGCTTTTACCATCAAATTATTTTCCAATTTGCCTAATTTTTCAATCGGAACATCATACATTTCCATGCCTAAACTACCGCTGTATTGACCTCTGCGAATTTCAAATATACAAATAGCCACCTTTGGGGTTAAAACAAACACATTGCTGCAAGTGAAATGAACGACTGAAGCAAAGCCAGTGACTGTGTGAGTTTAGATATATAAAGCAGTGACTGGTTTCAGATAAAAAAACGAAACAGTAAGCGCGAGGCTTTTCACATGAATGAAATAATTGTTTAATGTGATCTTGCACATTATTTGTTTGTTTGCAATACCTTTAAAAATGAATAACTTAAATAAAAACTTCAGGTTTCCTAGTGCATTTCTTGCAACAATGAAGCAATAGACTAGACTCTGACCAGCCACAGGGTTTGATTTCAGGAATGCAGTGTGAGGCTTGGATAATTAAACCATACAGCAAGAAGCAGAGCCTTGTGATGAGGATTATGGAGAAATGACTGTCAGAATACAACTGAGGAGATTAGCGCAAAGTGCATCTCTTCTGCAGCTTCCAGGAGCCACTTCAGACATGCATTATATACGCCTTCAAAATTAGGCAGAAATATCTGGATCTAACCAGTTACCTTTGCCTGTGATCTTGTTTTGCAGTTACTGACCTCTACATATTTATTGATAAACGACACGCAAAAGAAAAAAAAAAGGAAAAAGAGCAATAAACAGAGTATTCGAAATGCAACAAAAGCCTTCATGTTAGAAAAGATTATCATCAATGTGAAGAAGGAAGCTACCTCAAAGGTAATTTGTGTCCTAAAAACGCATTAGCTCTGAATGTGAAATTGAGGTCAGCAAAGGAAGGAAAAAAAGAAAAGGAATAGGAAACCTGGTAAATTAAGTATGATCACAAATTCCTGAGTGGCTCAACCAATAAAGGTGCTCTTTTCTAAATATTTATAAGATTGTCATGAGGTTATACGGATCTAGACACAAGATTTACATATAAACACATGAAAATCATAGAACTGGGATAGAGGGTTTCTTGAGCCATCTAAAAATCTCCACACAGAATGATTGCCACCTGGGGATTCAGCTTTCTTTGGTGCAAAACAACAGTGAATGACTAAGTCAACAAGAAGGTGATGTTCCAGAACAAGATCACATGTGAAAACACATATTCAAGATTGAATGCTGTAATTACTAAAAGTAAGATATTTTGAAACGCACAGCCTTCTGTTGGCCCATGATCTTCATACGAAATGAAAAGTAAAAAAAAAATAATGAGGTCAAAGGTTTTTGTGACAAAGCTTCCAGAAGTACAACCATTCACCATTCAGAATTGATTGTTAAATGTGATAAGTCTTCCTCACAATGAAGATTCGAATGCCCTGGAGAATGTGGCCATCAGAAATAGTTTACTAGATGTACACAAAACTTTAAATGTGTATCAAAGCATTGTCAGACTTCAGGTTTTGTCTGACTGATAAATGAAACACATTGAACCAGGCCATGCTCAGCACACTGCACATCACGTTGACTGGAAACTCATAGTCAAGTCCCACAACTCAACCATCAGCTCCAAAGGTGACAGGAGGCTTTGATCAGCACTCTGCTGTGCTGATATGTAAGTCTGTAAAAGCAGGTGAGAGAGAGCACAACCTTTCACCTACACTGAAGCTCAAAATCACTGCACAGCCAGAGCTGTTCATCAACAGCAGTTCCAGCAGGTTGTTGACTTGTCAACAGCATAAAAACTAGAGGCACAGCACTGAGTATCAGGGAAGTCTTATTGGCGATTTTCGGTGGAGTGCAAGTAAAACTCTGCCTGGTCAGCAAGCCAGAGCTTTTAAAGTAGCTGGGGACACAATGCTAGGAAGGGAGTAAAATGTTGAATAAGCATACCGAGAAGACATGCCCTCCCAAAAGGGGAAAATGTACAAATTGAAGCTGTCTTGATGTTGAACCCCTCCTAACCATTCCTTAATTTCCGAGTTTCACAGAACATCTGCTTGGATCAGCCACCTCAGCTTCTGTTTACTAATATACGAATCGAACATTTACAAACATTCAGTCTGATGCGCACGTGTGCTCTTTGCATCTTTCAGCAGCTTGTTAGACAGTGAGACTGATGTCAGCAATGCTATGCAACACATTCACAAAATGAAGGGGGAATTATGTGAGCCCTGCAGATTCATGTTTCACTTGGGACAACACCAGCCCACTGCAAACCCTCTCTTTCAGCAAAAGCATGGGAATTAATCTGTGTTTACAGCTTAGGTTATTGTGCCTTGCTAAAAGACCAGCAAACGAGCAATTGCTTGGTCCATAAATGAATGAATCGCTTCAGTGGGAGTGCTCTCAGAAAGACGTATTTCCTGCACACTAATTTGCCATTTGGTAAAATAGCCTGGCACTGTGGAACTGCTGAATAAGGGTGACTCTGTGTGATTATAGAGATCAGTGCTTCTAAAGGCATTTTATATTGTAGCACATGTTAGATTGTGTGTCCTTTGAATTAAACTCAACTTCAACCTAATTTGAGTTCTGGGAGGGAGGAAAATGTGTGAAATGTGTCTACCATATTCTCCATTCTACATCTGCCTTTTGTAATCAGTATTATAAACAGTACATTGGGGAAGAATATCCAGATTATTTACATCTCGACACTGTGACACAATATGAATATGGACTGTGTGACTGATTATAACCACACAGAATACTCTGTCTCTTCAGCAACATGTGCAATCTGCAATTCTTCATCTCTCAAATGGAATTCAAAATCAATCAGGAGTGTTAATGAAATAACAGGCACAAATTGCACAGCAACAGTCACTGCCAGTATCGCTGTAAAGATGTGTATGTTGTAGTGTTTTAAGTTACATTGTTCGGAGATACAGAACGCTATGTGGCTGTCTTAATACACCTGTTATCTGTGACATTTTCCACATTTATCTATCTATTCCAGTATTACTTTAGCTTCACAGAGGATCAGCAGCATTTAACATGGTTTAGTCTCTATTGGCTTGTTCTGCTGTGACTGCTAATCTTTTGTATAGTACGTGTCAGTGGACTCGCTGATAATCTCAACCCACATCCCCAGCGTTTCTTAGCAAGTGGAGAAGTAGTTAGTGTGTGCAGTCCTTGCTTAGAGGCCCATTTAATTAGCATCAGGGTAAAGGTACTTTAGGGCAAGTATATACACCAGACAAAACTACAGTTCAGCAATATTTAAATAAGAAAACCAGTCATCATATACTAATGCATTTATATCACTTTCTAATCCCCATTCTGGTTTCTTATGTAAGAAGAATGTAGATACCGCAAAAAAGTAAATAAGTTTCCTCATTTAAATTCAACCCCAAAAGCAGATGTTGATCTGCAATACAAATCTTACCCGTTTTTTCCGCTTACTATCAATTGATCTTGAATAGTTTCAGTAAGCCTTATTAAGCTTTTTTATTTGAAGTACATTCTTTTTGTTTCTAAAGTCAAGGTTATTTCCATCGATGATGCATTGCACTGAACACATGATGTATTCTGTAGTACCCCCGTATCATTAGAAACATACAGAAATCATGAATTTTAGCAATTACTAAAAAGGTTTTTATGAATACTAAAAATTGTGGAAAATATTGCACCCAAATTTAGATAGAAAACATCCTCTGCAGTTCTGTTGCAATTGTGGTGATATCAACTAGACCAAAAACAGATCTCTTAAGGGCTCTAAATGAGCTCCAGTGGAGGAAGTGGGTTTTAATTGGGCACTACGAGTTGCCAAGGATTCAACGAGAAAACTATATTGTCCATTAAAAAAATAAATATTCGCCAGAACATACAGTACAGTAAGCAGTTCTCAACATTTAGTCATCAGGATTTGAAGTTGAAACAGTATAAGTCAACTAGAAAGAAAGGAGTGAGGTCCAGTCCTTGCAAAAATTCAAATTTTGCATAAAACAATTTGAACCAAAAAAAAGTAATAAGACATGGAAGTTCGGACTGCTTGAAACAAAGTTGTGCATGAAGCATTCTGAAACTGTTTTCCATGGATGGGGAACTGTGACCATCAGAGGCAGATACATGTAATGTGTGAGAGTTTCCAGATGACTGTAAAAATCCTTAAAGAGAGCTCTGAAAGGAGCACACAGGCCAAATCGAGCCATCTGATCAGCAACTTACTCCTCTGGGCATCTGTAAGTCTTGTGCCTCGGACAGAGGCGACAGAGTCTTTCTTGCTATGGAATATTTATTTCATGAGAGAGAATGATTACAGACAAAAAGGCTTTCATTTTTCCACCAATTTTAGGGCGCTGGAAACAGCAGCAGCTAACACTTCTGAATATATGGCCGTGCTTATGCAGCTGCAGCCTTTTCAGACCAGTCTGGAAGGACGAGGAAACGTCATGATGAAAGCACAGTCGCCTATAATTTAAATCATAACACAGCAGCTTACAGATGAGGCAGAGTCATCATCAGTGTAAGAAGGAGGTCCTTATGTCTGATCACGGACAATTTGCAGAGGGCTGTATTGCAAAACAAAATAATAAAAGAGACCTGCAACAGCCACGTATGTGATTGCAGAACTGATGATGAGACACATTAATAATGTGCTTACTTGCAATATGGATGGAGCAGTAAGAAAATGTATTGTTTGGCATCCTGGGCTGGTGGCTGAGCATTGTCTACAGGACTCCCTTGTTAGCACTACTGCAAACAGACTTGGGGGGTGCGCTTGCCTTCCGGCCCCCATCCCGGCCTCTGTACCTTAGTCAGGGGCCTCACGGCTCTCCACTCCGGGGTCGTCTTAGGGGGCTGAGAGGCGGATGTGCCGGAGCTGTCAGGGCAGGTGGTGCTGCCTTTAGCTTTCTTGCCATCGTCTCTCGAGTACGCCTCTGGCCTTGACAACTGAGAGGGAGAAAAATCTTCTTTTTTAAATACATTTCGCTTCCTATGGGTGGACCCTTAACATGATAGTGATGACCAGTAAGCACACTTACTGTGTGACCATGAGGAGAACATGCAAACTCCACACAGACAGCACCCCAGGAACTGGACCTCAGACCCCAGGGCTGCAAGGCAGCAGTGCTGACCACTGTGCCATCTTGCCATCCACTGAACATGGTCATATTTTAGCAACACATTTTTAAACACTACTATTTTTCTCTACATTTCTTCATGGGTTAGCTGTTAGCTTTAGTGTTTTTCTGAATGAACATGCTTCATAAAATGATTATATTCAAATGAAATAAAACCTAATTTTCACTTGTGAATAACCTTCAAAGATAGAAGTGTGGTATGTAGTTTTGGATGGTTCCTATTATAATACAAATATGTTTCCCCTTTATTTTTTAAACACCTCTCCAAAGCCAATCATTAAATACTGAAGCTACTTCAACTACTGAAACAATTTCCCTAAATAATACTGACATGTGACTTCTTATGTACAATACTACATATTAATAATATACCATCATATGTGTTTGTGGAAGAATATTCAATTTTATAAAGCTGTTGATTAATAATGGCTTAGTTTGATGGCTCAGTTGTATGTATAAACGGTATGTATAATTTCCCTATTCTGCTGAAGCAAATAAGTTCTGCTAGCTTTCATGAAAGTAGTTGCAAGTCTGCATAAGATTAAATGGTAAATGTTGTTCTCTTTTTTTTAGAAAATATAGAAAAGCACTCAGTTTTGCAATTTTCAAGGTTGTGCTTTTGGTAAATCTGCAAACAGTTTCATTCTCTGCATTTTATTATCCAAAAGTAAATCAAAACCTTTTGTAAATGAGCGTTTTCCACATCCAACATGCAGAACGAAAGAATGCAGAATTACTTAAAAGTGCTATTTCTTACCATACCGGATGCATTTTTCTTCCGATGCATTTAATTGTAGCATTTAAACAACTTAAAATGTCTTTCTCAATAAATGTCTTCTTATTTTATGCGTAATCAACTCAATTCCAGAGCCAGTGGCTTTCATTCTTTTGTCAGCAGTGTTTATGAGTGCTGTAGTTTACAGGGTAATCACTTAATTACGCTGTGGATCAATTTACAGTCAAATCTTGAGAGGCTTCGTTGTTGGGGAAGGGGGGTAGCCAAACAGCCATCTGGTGGCAAATGTACTAAACTGATTCAGTATCAAGTCTAATGAACTTCTGCACAAATTTACACAATGATCAGACACGAAGTACCATGGCACACAAATTCTTTTGCACGGAATTTAACAACCAGTCTAATAGGAAACAGCAGTAAAAATGTGCAAGTGGGGATATATATATGATGGAAAAGTATTTCTGAATAACACAAATGCATGCTAATTCAGTCATGAAATTAAGCAATAATTTTCACTGGATTTTTTGCTTATGATTCATAATATAATCTGACAGATTATGATTATTCTGTTCTGCAGACCTTAAAATTTTAAATCTAAAGATGCAAATCCCTCTTCCATTAGCACTTCAGGGAAGAGCAGAGGAGGTGGGGGGATTATACTGTAGGTGTGGGGAAATAAAACATGCCTTGTGAGATATTTAGTTGCTCAAATGAATACAACAGTAATTCTAAGATGTGTCATTATTTAAAGAAATTGTATAATATAATGCACAAACCTACCTGTTTATGAGCTGACTTCGTTTCCTGTTGAGAACTACATCCTTTCTTAATGTGTTTCTGTTTCATCCTCTGTGAAGCGGGGCCTTTCTCATCCCTATCAAATTTTCTTATCTGGGGACAGTTAATTTTAGGATTAATATAAAGGCTGTCTTCCTCTTTTAAAGGATTTGTACTGGAGCAAGAGACTCTTATCTTAGTCATTACAGGAGAAATATTGGATTCAAGCATTTTAGTATCTGAAAAACATTCAACAGTGTCTATCAGGGTTTCACATGGTAAAGGATTAAGATAAGAAGCCTCATTATGGCACTCTAACTGGCTTCTAGCTGTACCTCCTTTAGAAATACCAGGTGCTTTCTGGTTTTCAGTGCAGTGTGGTTTAGGTGCACGGTCTGTTCCATTTTGATGTGAGGAAGAGACACTCCCTCTGGGTTTTGCATGACAAGAGTGTCCCTGACCAGTTGACTTAGGGGTCCTCTGGCTCATGCACATGCTGTAACTAAGTGGTGGGCCAATATACACTTGTTCAGTGCAGGGCTTAAACAGTAGCTCTTCATCTCGCATGTTTAAGGTGTCACCGAGGTCAGGGGGCAGGGGTGTGCTGCTCTTGTCTTCCACACACGTGCTGACTTCTCCACAGTCGCTGTCGTGAGAGGACAGGGAGAGGTAGGAGTAGAAGTCGCCCTTCCTCAGCTGTATTGGCCGATGAGAATGCTCCAGGACTTTGTCTCGGATTTGAGCCACTGGAGTAGGGCTGGGAGCCTGCGGGTCTGAAAGTGTCTTGTTCTTCAAAGCCACAGACGCCATGTCAATTATCTCCATTACGAAATTGTGCACGGAACCGTCATCTTCGTTTTTTCCCTCCTCAACGGGAGAATGGTGGCTGCAACATGATGGGACTTCCGCAATGGAATCGCTAATTTCTTCCGCGTCTTTTCTGAAGATAGCAAAGGAGTCTGAAATGCCATCATTGTGTGTCAACTCCACAGTACCCTTGTGAGACCCTTGGCGGTTACTCATAGGTAACACTGAAGAAGGCTCTCTGTCAGAGCTGCAACATGGAATTTCTCCACTTAGCTGACATTCCAGAGAAGACTCTTTGGGCTGTGTGGACAGCAGGTCACATTGAAAGGATTTAGCACCCGTGACCACGCCCACGGAGCTACCAGTACCTAAATCAGATGCATAGCAGTCTTTTAAGGATTCGCCACTCTTTGTAATAAGGCTTTCTTCTTCTCTCAGAAGCTCATCATCTGCATCTTTTGCTTTTAGCTGAGAATTCTCCACATTTCCATTCTCCATATCATCCACAAACTGGTTCATGTAGCTTCTAGACTTTTCTTGGGACACCTTGCTGATGTCTGAGGCCTTTGGGCGAAGTGAGTCACTCTTACCATTGGCGTTGGCTTCCAACAGTTTGAGGGCCGATCTGTTTAAAAACCGCCGCTCATTCGCTGTGAAGGAGGAGGTGATATTTTCACGGGAAAGGGCCCCACACTGTAGCTCGTCACCCAGCTCATTCTTTTCCTTGGACTGGGAGATCCTGGGTTTGATCCAGTTCTGTAATTCATTTTTCATGTAGTCCAGACCTAAAGCAAAACTACTTTCGATATATTCCTCATCAGAAGCAATGCTAGAATCGTCATCATCCTTGATGCCCAGCTCTTCCTCGGTGAGAGTGAGGGTGGAGCTGGACAGTAGGTCGCTGTCATCCTCGTCGTCATCCGTGCAAGCTGAGGTGCAGGACACATTCACAATCATGCTGATGCTGACGTCTGCTTCATCAGGCACAACGTGGTTCACATGCTTCCGGAAGGAGGCATTGGAGTCCACAATTCGGTTTTTCTGGACAGCAATATCCTCTGAGCAGAGGGAAAGATCTTCACTGCTGCTCAGCTCGGTGAGGGAAGCCGCAGAGTCTTCATTTACAGAGGAGGCGACCTCCAGAGGGAGCTGAGTACTTGCCGGCATCTTCAAGGAGCTGCTCTGGAGTGTTATGTCAGAGATACTGCGCTTTATCTTGTGGTTGAAAGGGCTCGGAATGTTCTCCAAACGCTTTAGCAATTCCAGAGTCCTCTTGCTGAGCTCCCCAGTGGAATCCCCACCAAAGCCCAAGTCTCCTAAACTGTGCTGACTTGAGATTTCCTCTGTGCTTTTGCAGGGGGCTAACCAACTCTCCAGAGAAGTGCTGCGATGGAGCGTGTCTTTTCCGGACAAAAATAAATCTCCAGCCACAGAGAGGGAATCAAGGGAAGACCCATGGGATAAAAAGGCAGACTGTTTGCCACTTTTCAGATCAGCACATCCTCTCTCATCATCCTGCCTTGTGAACAGAGGCTGCTTAAATCCTTCTGAGTCTCCTTCTGCCAGAGGCTCCTGGCCATTAAGAATGATTGCCACAGGGTGGCCCTCTGATGGCTGGTCAATGCTAGCGCGCTTTTTCTTTTCCGCTGGCGTTTTTTGGTAATTTGCTTGTAAAATGCCACGGCTTGTGCAGGAAACAGAGACATCCACATGTTCTACAATCCCGCCACTACCACTCCTGTTTAGGGCGCTCTGCATCTTCACTTCATTGGAAGTCAATGAACTCTCTGGTTCATCCACGCCAACAGGGGGTTCTGATGACAGCTCACCCCTGGGCTCATCAACCCGGTTCGGGGGGCAAACCTCTGAATTGGCGGTAGTTTCTGTGTCGCCCTCGCTCACAATTCCACTCTCGCTCTCGGACCTCCTGGCCGAGTCCCCGCTGCACGCCAGCCCGCCCTGATTGACGGAACCGACACCTCCAAGCAGGTCCGGCAAGGATTCGGTGGAAGAAAAAGAAGAATCTTTGCTGAGGCTTTTCATTAAAGTATTTGGTTGCTTCTGGCTTGAATCCTGAGGAGACTTTCCGAGGAAAGGAAGATGTGGTCTTTCATACAGTTCCACGTTATGCAGACTGTACACCTGATACACACGGGGGCTGGAAGAAGGAGGGGTGAACCCAGAGCCACAAGAAGGACTGTCATGTTGTGAGACGTATTGATCAAACTGGGGGTCACCAGCCCTGCTCCCTGGAGATTTCACTGTTAACTTTGATGTATGGCTCTCTACTTGCTCAAGGTCATGCGGCTCCATATTGACACTGATCAAGTCATTGCTAATGTCCGTATCATCCCACTCCCAGGAATCTTCAGCTGAAGTATTCAAATCCATGAAAGCAGGCTCGATTACGTTCCCTGGGACCTTAAACAACAACAAAAGTTTAGAAATTCAATGTTGTCAGCATTAAACTATCACTGACAGCGCTGCATCAATGAAACACTCACCTTTGAACTCCCCCCTTCTAAATCAGCAGACAAGAAATATATTTTTAAAAAAGCAACCAATACATTTTATTTCAGATGAACTCTTGATTCTTATATCAATTAGAAATCTGCCAATTAGCTGCCTAAAACACAGTTTGTTGTCCAGCATATTTAAGCCTCTATGAGTAAAGTTTAATCAGATTCCTTGACTATCTTCAAAATGTGCTTAGTCACATTGTTTGTGGGGAACAATTATACAAATTGCTTGGCTTCTAGTTCATAACAGAAAGGCCTATTTATATTAGCCACTTTTATCGCAGTTAATCTAATAAACTAGCAAATCTAACACTTGCTTAGGTACGTCGTACATCCCCTATAATGAATTTTTATTAGATTTCTGTTTATTCTCTGCTTGCTGATAAAGGAAATACTAATGACTAAGCGTGGATGGCTAATGCATGATAAAACCCTCAACTGTGAGAACAATCAATCAGCGTAATCAAATAAAAATAATTTCAGTGCATTACCTCAGCTGACATGATGAGTACTACTGTATATGCTATATGAGTACTTTATAACAACTTAACCAGCCATTCAAATGGGGACTGCACTGTCACCTGTTGTGCTTAATAAAATTAGAACTACAAATGTATATTACATATTTTGCATACATTTTTGCGTCAGTAGAAGATACCTGCTGAGTTTTATTCAAGGACTTATCCGAGTAGGGAGGTACACACTGCTGTTTTGAACTTTCTTAAAGGCTTTTATGTTTTTAACATACTGTACGAGGAGAATACATTTGCTTGGTAGTATCAGGGGCTTCAGAAATTGTGGGGTTGGTATGCATTTTGTTTCATGTCAGGTAAGAGCAATGTAAATGGAATGATAGAACCAGTAAATAATATTTTGGGACTGAATTTAGAATAGGATTTTTCCACTTTATATCAAACGAGACTACGGTGTTTACTTATACACAACTCATACTCATGTTTTTCATTTCGCTCACTTCAAAAAATTAAATTGCTTTGCAGCTTTGCAAGGTCAGATTCTCAGAAAGTCTAGCAATTTGTCTTCCTGCTTCAACAGAAAAGTTTAGAACACATTCAACAAACCAACAAGTTTCCTTGTGTTTGATATGTTAAGCAAAGCACTTAGAATGTTCTTAACTGCTGTCGCACTTTTTGGTAGGAATGCCATTGTCACAAAGGAAAGGAGGAAAGAGGGGAACAAACAGCCCCTGACACAGCCGGCTAGGTGATTTGCATACCAAAAGGGACAGTTATAGAAGCATTCTACTCTGAGATATAATTGGGATTTTATCAGACAGATCATACTAATAGAAAAAGATGCACAGCGACATGGCCAAAATAACCCACTCTCGTTTCTAACCTTTACTGATGCTTTAAGGCTTATACAACACAACCCCATCTCAAAGAAAAGTGTTACTCCTACTAGAGGCGTCCATTATATACTATATAGCTGGGCATCTACAGGTTTCAGGAAATTCAATATGACTTAACAAGCCTCTCTTTGAAATTAAATTCCATTTATATAGCACTTTTCTGGACACTACACTCAAAGTGTTTACAGGTCATGGGGACTCCCCTCCACCACTACCAGTGTGTAGCCCCCACCTGGATGATGCAATGGCAGCCATAGTGAGCCAGTACTGTCACCACAGACGAGCTATCAGTGGGGAGGAGAGCAGAGTAATGTAGTCAATTCATAGAGGGGGATTATTAGGAGGACATGACTGGTAAGGGCCAATGGGAAATTTGGCCAGGACGCCGGGGTTATACCCCTACTCTTCTCGAGAAGCGCCCTGGGATTTTTAATGACCACAGAGAGTCAGGACCTCGGTTTTACGCCTCATCCAAAGGACAGCGCCTTTTTACAGTAGTGTTCCCGTCACTATACTGGGGCATTAGGACCCACACAGACTGCAGGGTGAGCGCCCCCCACTGGCCCCACTAACACCTCTTCCAGCAGCAGACTGGAGGTCTCCCAGGAGGTCTCCCATCCAGGTACTGGCCAGGCTCACACCTGCTGAGCTTCATTGGATTGCCAGTTGTGAGTTGCAGGGTGATATGGCTGCTGGCATATTGTTTGGAACAATACTGCTGGAATATTTTAGAGGTTTTCTTAACATTATTATGAAAAGTGCATTGCAGTGTGGCCCAGGTATCTCGAATACTTGTCACCACTCGCTTCACAACGACGCAGCATGCTGCACCGCGTGAGGCACATCTGACCCCACCGCTGGGGCAGTGTCTGCCCCCGTGCCCCGGCCCTCACCTGCTCTGTGCCCAGTCTCTTCTGCAGCCTGGTCTGCCACTGCAGGGCCTGCATCACAATGGCTTCCCAGCGCCGCTCCAGGTTGACGGTGACCAGCTGCAGGGCCTGTCTCTCCGTGTCAGGAGTGCTGCTGTCCTGCTCCTCCAGCAGCCTCTGGCACAGCCGCAAAACCGAGGAGACCCCTCTCCTCCGCTGACGGATCTCACCGCACAGGGACTGCGGAGACAGAACCCCATCAGACCCCGACAGTGTCACGGCGCTGCCACCTTCCACACACGCCGCCCTCTAGGCCTCTAGAAATGCCTCCGCTCAGCACATTATAGAGGTGAGCCTACATCATCACTTGTAGTTAACAATCAGAACTTTTTATTGTTAAACTTCACTGATCATGCATAGTTTTTAGGCTTGAATATTAGCTTAAGCTACATGTTGCCGAACAGATTAACAAACACGAAAAGAAAAGAACATTCAAGCGCCCCACTGTTCATATCAAGTCCTGCCGTGTAGAATTCATCTGAAAGGCAATGGGCTACCTGCTGGAAGACTACGAGTTAACTGGGGGAAAGGGTGGATAACGGATAAGAACTGGAGCAAAACAGTGCTGCCTGAAAATGAGGGAATATCTTTCAGGGAGCTTTCTGAAAACAGTCTTTCGAAGTTATAATGCCAAATCATTTGGAAGAACACATGCGACGTCAGTGAAGACAGCTGAAAACACAAAGTATGCGACAGCCTCTTCAATACCTGTGTGTTCAGCATAAGGACAAACGAGCTGGGGCATGTGGCTGCAGACCCAGCAGTGAAATTAAAATTCACCCCTTTTGTTCTTGTAGCACGCTGAACTGTAAAAGTGTGCAATAATTGTATAAACTGAAGGAATGATGCAATTCATTCATTTATCTACAACATTATACTGGAATTATCATCCAATTTACATAAGGTTTTACTCCACCGTGTGAAAAGTACCTATAAAAAGACATTAGGACCAAAACCTGGGACATGACAAATGTTATTCCCTCAGCAAATGCAATGTGCTGTACATCAGCAGGTAGATATTTTACACTGATATTCTATTTACTGATGTATTACACTGTATAGTAATTTAGATTACCATAACTCTGTAATAGGTAGAATTCTATTATTTCTATAATAAGGGGAACAGCATACCTTTAATATTTCTGAATTTTAAATAAGGCAGATGACAAATACCAAAAGCTCTATTTATGCCAAAATATGACTGCTAGGTTTATTATTCAATTTATTGCAGCACTGCATTTCCATTAATGTTTCCACAACTTGCCCTAATTTCTTCTTCCCCTCTGCTACAGGGTGAACACTGCCTGCCCTGTATTGCTCCCAGCTCTACCACCAGCTCTGATGAAATTTCCATGACACTGCAGTCCATCAGAAAAATGTAAATCAAGGCAGTATCTAGTTTTATGCTTCCTCATAAATAGGTGAAATATTAAATATTTAAAGTGCACAACGCACTTCAGACTGCTGTGCATTTTTTTACCATAGGATACAATGTTAACCCACTACATGTATATCTTGCAATGCAAAAAATAAAAAAAAGGAAATGCCTTTTACATTCGATTCGGGATGCTCCTGACCTGAATACCTGTTTGCAGGTACCTGATTAAATATGCAGCGATTTCACTGTAAGTAAAGGACTGCCACTGCTGTCTTCTGCCAGGCCCTTGTAGGACAAAACATTCAGAGTACAATTTATGTAAATCCCCGATGCTTGGAAATGTGTTCCCTTACATTTTCTAATAAATATTAAACACTATTACATTTAAATTGGATTTTGGCTCAGCAGTTTCCTCTCCTGTTTTAGCATATATTTACCAGTCCCTTTGTCTTTTAAACAGGTAATGTGATTGCAAAATACAACTCCTTCCTCCTGGGAAGAGAGAAATATGGCCCACTACATCATGATAAAGTTGTCGTTTGCAATAAGTTAGGTAGGCAAAGTCAAAATGAAACAAGCAGGACCCTAACAAGAAGACAGATTATCCTACTACAAAACAGCATGTGTACGCACACACACGCCCTACCAGAAACACAATAATTTGTAACATATGAAACCCCAGAATGGGTTTAACATTGATGGAAAAATCCACAGACGTGGCTATGAAAATTAATTTTTACTCCACGTTAACCAGAAGTGTTGTTTCTCTGGCTATAAAACAAGCCTCTTGTGGCACACTAACATTATGAGTTCCATGACACATTTTCATTTACATAAATATCTTAGGTCACTGTTAGTTTTTTTTAAAAGAAGTAAAGTCAAAAGGAAATTGGAGAATAGCTAGAGTAAATATACAAAAAAAGAGTGCTTCTTTCCAATTTATACTCATTAACATCGAAATTATGTCCTTATAATTGTCATTCTCTGAGGAAAGAACACAGGTTCAGTGAGTCAGACTGAAAAGCACACTCTTAAAATTGAGAATGTCTGTGTCATTGTTTTGTGTCTGCGTCGTTGTGCATTTACTTAGCATTAGCAAAAAAAAAAAGCCTTCTAAAATAAATACAGCTATAAATATAAATAACAAGAACCGGCGATTTAGCAGACACTAAGTACAATACATTAACACATTTCTGGGATCATTCAGTTTCCTTCAGCCTCTGAATGAGTCTGGGCACAACTCCAAGCTCAGAGCTGTCTTTCTGTCTCGAAAGGTAGCACTGCAGCCCTCTTTCCTTCAATAGCAACCTCATGCTTTGCTTCCAGCATCCCTTGAAAAATACGGCGTGTGAAAGCTCATCAAGAGACCATTCATCAGGTGGCTTTTTAATAAAGGCATAAGCGCATCAGCTGGCCTGTAATGTGCAAGCTGGTAAGACAATCTCAGGGTTTTAGATGACTATTTCCCAAGACCTCATCACATTTTCTCATTGCTGCATCATGTGCTGGGATCCATCTAGAGCACTGTAGCAATCTAAAAGTATTACAGTCATCAGCTGCTGTAATCCAACCAGTCATTAATGGGACAGTAAATATGCAGACGTTTGGCATGAGCCTTTTAAAAACTTTCAAAGTCAAATCCTTTTGTGTGTGAACATGTCCTCACAATTTAACAAATGGAATGCCCTGTCCGTTCTGTATTAATAAGGGTGTAATCATTTTGCTTATTTCTTGTGCTCAGTCAGAAGCCTTTCTTTATCGCCACTGTGGCTTGGGGTATGGTCAGCTATTCTCCAACAGTCTTCATATTTTCTGTTCATTTATTTTAATCTCTTCCAGATGAAATTGAAATGTCTTTTCTCCTGTGGTCTTATCACTGTCTTATTAATTCAATTTGCACATTTAAAAATAATATGTAAGATTCACCTTGATCACGTTTCCTTGCTTATGTTTTGCTATATAGTCTACATAAATTAGGCTGAGCAGGGAACAGTGAAATGCTCTCCACTGAAGCAAAAGACAGAATTAACTCATATAGCAGCACACAGGAGATATAATGAATTATGATTAATTAAAATGTTCTGATTAAATATATTTGTTGATTATGTCAGTTCAAATTGCAGTGACTTCTTCAGTTTTATTATCGCACATAAATGTAACAAAAGCAAGGAATGAAAACCAGATCACACAACTAAATTTCAAAACTACATATCTTTTGTAGTTGAACATGTTTTGAACCACTGACTGAATATGTGCTCTCTCAAAACAATTCTCGTGTTTTCTATGTCCTCGCAAATCCAGTTACTCTTCCATGTTTCAGCACACCAGAAGTTTAAGAAAATCAAACCCAAGTTTGATTTAACAGTATACAGCAGCAATCCTTTGCCTAAAATAGCTTTGTCAACACCGTCGTGCTTTCTGATTCTGTGTTTGCAGAGGGTATTTGTAATGCATCTATTACTCTGTCTTGGCTAGATGCTAGCAATAAAATGATCAGCATCAGACTCCCAATCACAATCTATTCAAGAGAGAAAAGGAAAATGTCTGTTGAAAAAAAAAAAGAATTGCAGTCAACATGTTGACATCTGACTTTGTGAAAGGTTGTTTGGTGGAAATGTATTTTCTTCTGTACTACCCAAATAGTTAGAACAGAGGTAGGAAGGATTTTGGATTGAAATCCAATGAACAGGCGCAAACAGTACCGTTACAGCGGGGGTCACAAGTGAGCCCACTGAAGAAGGCCCTCTCTTTGGACCAGCAGGTCTGCGGGTCTGAGTCTGGGTTATGTCACTGCCTCAGGCCGGGATCCCTATCCTGGTGCTTAAGGCCCACACAGCTGCCACTTTGTTTTCCAGCTGAGCTCTCAGTCATGCAATTGACTTAAAATCAGGATTCATTTGAACTGTTTGTTTTCACCTCTTAAACATGCCTGAGGTCGTCTTTTAACAACTGCATTTCCTAAGTAATGTAAATTTCCACATTTCTGAAACAAACAAACAAACAAACAAACAAACAAACAACAACAACAAAAAACACTTGCAAATGTTCCAGTAAAGCAACTTGCTGCGATTCAATTAAGACTTCAATGAAGTAATTCGTCTCTTGGCTGTAACGAAAACCAACAGGCGTGTGGGCCTGCAGGACCAGGCGGACAGCAACCGAAATGTCCAGACTGGCTGGGGGGTGGCGTACAGTTTACCAAGCACCGCTGGGGTGAGCCGAATGTGGCTTAAACAGGGCGACCCATGGCCATGCCGAGTAAACAGAGCTCCCCGCAGGCCACCTCTCAATCTACTGTGTTTTCACGGAGAGCCCCAAGCAGTCATTTCTGACTCCTGGTGCTTGAGGTGTGCAAAATGGCAGCTGGCTCTTAACGATCCAGGTTCAAGACGGAAGGCGCGGACAGTTCTCATCACCTCCCAGCTTGGCGCCAAGGTTCTGGTGATGTTTTGGCACTGATGTCCAATTAGAGATGCCAAACTGGGTAGGTACACACAAACAATCATAACAATTAAGAGAGTCCAATTTTGAAAGAGGATGCTAAATAACATAACATAGAAATGCAGACTCACATATCTATGGTAAACGTGTACAGCAGGCAAGGAAGATTGTGGTAATGCGAAAAAAAGTAAAATATGGTAAAATAAAGTAAAAATATGGTTTTCTCTCCATCGGTTTGTTAATCATCATGTCCTTCTTGGCTGTCACCTGCTTGCACTCTATTAACTGTCGATGAAGAACTAATACTGTGCTTGGCAGTTTTACATGCTGGTGCTTGCACAGACCTAATGTGGTTAGCACTTGGCAAAGAACAGGAGTTCTTTATTCCTAATCATGGAGAAAGTATTGATATTATATTTGTGCTGTCACATTTTATTAGCTCTATGAAGGCTACGGAATACAAAATCAGAAAACAGTTGCACAGGCTCCTGGAGTCTTTCAGACGATCCTTTGCTGAGTGCTGTCGTTGATTAGACTTGACCTTCCATGAGATGACTCGGTATGGTCTAAGATCACTAACGAGTTAACGGTGACGCGCTTGACAATAACTGTTCATTTCGTGCTCTAACCCTCGGACTGTCACACCTCATTATTTTTAAAAGATGGTGATGTCTTTAGTGCCACATAGAAAGCCATTTAACTGGTACGATGCAAAAACAACATCAAAATGCAAAACCAGTATGGAACTGAATATGCTCGATTTAGTAAAAAACAAAAGGTATTCTAATCATCTTTCTATTTCTTTACACTTAAAAAATTGTATGGATGTAAAGTCTGGTTTGAAGCTCACAATGGAGCACATTTTACTGAGAGAGTAACAAGGTATGACCCTGATTTATTCATTTTTTCTTATTGGGGATTATAATAAATTAAACTTCCATGTTGAAAGAGGGAAGGAATTCCAACACTAAAGTATCTAAAGAAAATCAAGTAGAAATATAATATTTCTTGTTCTTCAGTGACATATAATCATTGTAATCCTCTTAAAACATTTGGATTATGAACACATTTCTGGTTAAAATGGGGCAGTTGTTTTTGTGCCCAAAATGAAGGCTTAATCTCTGGAAACTATCCCAGTTGATGGTGTTAACAAACTAGTAATTGTTAAAGACTGTTGTTTTAAGAAAGGCACTTTGAAAAACAGGCTACCAACTCTCCAGGCAACTAACTGATTGCCCCCAATTCAAGTGTTCTATGCAAATTGTCTTGGAAAATCCTAAATGACCTCGTCTTTGATTTACTTTATCATGAAGAGGTCAAGGCTGCACATCTTAGTATCCTTTCATTGAATTAAGCTGGGGTTATAATTTAGAAATATTACTATGATGTACATTTAGAAAATGATGCACTGTTATGACCTTGAAATTCCAAAGCCAAAAGCCCCTAAAAGGTTGGTGTAAATTTGGGTGCTAGTCTATAGCCATTAAATGTTTGCAGAACTAAGAGGACTGTAAGGTGTAATGTGGTCACTCTTTGCTGAAGACCCCCAGCTTTCTCTGAACACTTTCCTGACTTCTTTTACCAACACTTAGGAGCTCCCTCAAGGCTTCTCCCTCTTTTTAAACACTATCAGCTGCATATACTGTAAGAAGAAAAAAGCTCTACATAAATAAAGGAGTCAGATTTTCCTGTGGACAAACACAGATGTTGCTTGCCAAACTGTAGAAGAAGGACAGTTTAAAGTGAGATATGACTGAAGTACAAAAAAAAGCACCTAGACATTTATGCCTTGAAATCATCTGCACTCTCTATTTATATATTAAGTGACAGTAATAAAAAGCATAATAATCCTTTTTGAGATATTTTATGTCATAGCTACTAAAGTTGTACATCGCATCTATCTTTTACTGTTCCCTTAACTGTGAAGTGACCCTTAAACTGTTTCCATAGCATGAACTGCAACACAACCTATAAAACAATATTCCCTTGGCGATAACCTTTCAAAAGGACTATAATTATGCCAGCTCTGGATATTGGATCTATTTTCAGCAAAATTGCCAAAACAGATAGATGATCGTTAAATGCTCTTTTTTTCTCATTTTCTGCCTTTTTGCTTTGTAATGTAATGGCTGTTCTGTCCATAAGAGCTGCATTTATCAATATTTCTAATCATTTTTTTTACCCAGTGCATTCCCAGGAAATCAATGGCTGTGGTGTTTTTCCCCTCCTGCAATATGACTTTTTTTTATCAAAGGCTTGTCTTCTTTATGTTGTTGCTTTTTTTAATCCACCATAATTTATAGCAGCATTTATTGCGCATAGACATAAAATAGGTTTTTCCACTTATTGTATTGGTCCCTCAAAACAAACCAAAAAAATGTCATCAAATCGAAAGTATTTCGGCTCCAACGCTGACAGCTGTTGATTCATTTTCTGCCTAGGGTTCAGTGGAATAAAAAATGGGAACCAAACCATACTGAATTATTTTTGCTAACATATAGGGTGTATTACATTTAGGATTTTAGTCTCCTTGTGCACCTATTCAGAGTACCACTGATATGTCTTCACAAAGAGACTGGGATCCACTGAGGGGAGCTAAAGATGTGGTTTAATACCTCACTTATATTACCGTTACCTAGGGAGGGCACTGAAAATGTGTGATCTTTGAAAAAAAGAATTCCCTTTCCTTCACAATCCATTGCGAAATAATGACTACGTAATGATAAATCGGAAGACACGCCCAGTTACGCCAAAGATCTTACGCCCCGATTTTCCTTCTTCGCGTCCAGACGGCATGTGGTTTGTTCGCCTGTTGATGTTCTAAATATCTGGAGTTAATGAAATGTCCGCCGCGCCTCTGTCTGTGGCGCAGCCCCCCTTGCACTGCTGAGCGGGTTCTGTAGGTGTACACCCCCCCTACGCACTGTGGCGCCATTTCCACAGGTTCATTTCACAGGAGGCAGCCTCTTACCTTGAAGTACTGCAGCTGCTTGGGCGCGTGCGGCGCCTCGGCCTCGGCCTTCTCCTGCCTCAGACAGGAGTTGAAGATGAGGAGCTCCGTGTCTCTCAGCCAGCCCCTCAGCTCCTTGATTCTGCTTTCCAGCTGCCGGACCAGGCCGTTGGTCTCGGGGGACAGCAGGCTGCAGGGGCCCAGCCCAGCCTGGGCTCCGGTCTGGCCCCCAGTCCTCTCCTCCAGGGTCTTCTATAACCACACAGCAGAATAAGAAAATGAAAAACAAAGCACGAAGAAGCAAAGCGACGTTTCTGTGAATACAAGCAAACAGCAACAACAAAGCGCCCTTTTATGTTAAACTCCAAGGCATTGGCCTCCAACATTTTATGTCTGTCTTTTACACAGCTTACTTTGATATCCCACAACTGCTATTTAATTTATTTTATTTTGTTTCATTTACCCCCAAAAATCCCTTGGCGACGGATCACCGCATTTTCAAGTGCGTCCCAAACGGCAGGCTGAACGCAGAGCAGAAATGGTGTAATGGCTTTGATTCGGGTGACTGTTGCTTCTAACCCTTCTTGTGTGGATGCAAATCCCTTGGTCTGGCAGTGGGGGATCTATCGAAGCTATTGACAGCGCAGCACCTTTGTTAAACATCGACGCAAAACAGATCTTCGCCGAGATCTGAGCCCAGTTCGAGACCAGATGGAGCAACTGTCAATATTTCTTAAGTTGGTAGTAAATAAATGATGAATCTCTTCAAACTGAGGTTGTAGACACAATTGTAGGGTTAAGCAACTTTATGAGTTTGGTTACTGTACATCAAGAGAATTAAAGAGAGAATTTGTGAATGCTAGGGTGATAGCAACAGCTTAAAGGAGATGTGGAACTACACCTGCCCGAGGTAGACAACACGGAAAAGGGAGGTGAGTACAAAACAAAAAAAAGAAAAACACAGAAGACATTTACATGGGTTAATCTCGATTAGAAAGTTCTTCTCTCGTCAGACTGACGAAATCTGACGCCGAACTGAGATGTAGGCTGAAGCTGGAGTGATTGCTTTCCCTCTGTAGGCAACAGGACTCGAGGGGTGGAAATGAGTGTGGACAGAGAACTGTGAAAAAGCATTTACCAGTACAAAATACACGGCTGTCTTACTTTTATATACAGTTTGGTGTCATTGTAATTCTTTTGTACAGGGTGTCTGTGCTAGTTGTAATGAAACGGATATGATAATGATTCAGCAATGAAAAGGCTATTTTGGTGTGCCACAGCAATTAACTGCACTGTAATTTCTGCACCCTGCTTGCATTTTTAATAGTGACTCTTTTAACAAAGTGTTTGTGTGGCTTGCGTTACACACCACACTTTACAACAAAGACAATAAGAAGATGAATGTGCCGAAGCGCGTCAGCTGTATTCCCATGAATGTTTTAGAATGGAAACGGAAAACGACTTTGTAGAGCTGGACTGGAATTTCTGCAAGAGGGTCATTGTCTTTATTCACAGGGTTCAGCAGTACCGCCTGTACAACTTTTCGGCATCAAGAAAACTTAACGGAACAATTCTGAAGTGAAAAAAAGTCTGCATTTGACTGCAGAAAAATGGTGTAAGACACGTGACTTTAAGGGTTTTGTTTTGTCAGTGACAGACCATCCCAATGGATGAAGGAATTAAGCACATTAAAAGAGCAGTGCTATTAGGATTAGCCCGTTAACAACACAGTGACAGATGTTTGTTTCACTATACGCTTTTCTTTTTCCAAATGACTGTAAGTCACCTATCTGCTCCTGAAGTGCTACATGAATGCACGTTTGTCACTTTCTAAAGTGTTTAATTCTACGAAGGACATTGCCTGTCTCTTTGTCTTCCCTGGTTTGAATATTGATAATTTGAAGGTCCTCAATGGATTCCAGATTTGGCTATTGTTTTTGTGCTGTGACAAATGCAGCAGCAGGAGGTGAAATCAATGCCCTTGGAGGGCAGGGTTACAAAAAAGAATTTATTGCCATTTTATTTTGTCCTGGAACAGTTTGCAATCATAAATTCTTCATAAGCAGAATACTTCAGAGAATGGTCTGTCTTCATAAATATACGACAGAGGACATCAATTTCATTTAATTCACAATTTGTGTCAGCACACCAGATGCCAATGTCTGCCTTGATAGGCTTGTTTAATATGCAATTGAGACAGAGTAATGTGCAGCACAGGGAACAGAATTTCACAGATTAAACTCTACGCACCACTGACATTTCATTCTAATGTATTTTTATTCCACGCTGCTCACCTCAGATGAAAGAAATATTCAAACCAACAGTACTTTATTTCATATACTTTTTTTTTCAAATTGTCAGCAATTAAATATATGGTTGTTAATTTTTTTGTAAAATGTTAATTAACACTGATCACTCTGGTGGAAACATTTTAAAGTTCTTTGGCACAAGCTTTAAATTAAAACTCTATTTGCTTTAAAAAATAATACATATGCAAATTAAGCAGGTTCAATTTTTTTCTCATTGCTTTGACTAAGGAAAGATCAGTACAGTACAAAGAAACAGGCAGCAGGTTTTGATGGCCATACAGGGAACGCTGCACGCTTGCACATAGTCTACAGAGATTAGAAACAAACAAAATCTCCAGACTGGGTGGCACAGAACCTTTTCACACACACCCTCAGAACACTGCAGCTGGGCTTCTTTCAATCAGCAAAAGAGGATGTTGTCTAGGTCAGTGGCCATCTCAGTTGGTACATATTTCACAAATCAGTGCGGCTTTCAGGCAACAAAACTGTTTTTGGTGTTGTGCTGAGATGATTCTTTTTCTCATTCCAATCTCAGCGCCTTGATCCCCTCTCCTATTTGAATTTCCCAACTAAGAACGCAGCTAAACAAAACAGAACTGTGAACTGCACCAATCAGAAAACACATATCCAGCCCGGAGTGGTTATATTATAATCAGACTGTACCTTTTCAGCCCACAATACCAAAGTTTCTCCCTTGACATCTCATTTTACACTTTAAACGAACTCTGTAAAGCAAGCCGTCCTCAACTGGGATATTTCAACTGAGACCGAGAGCTTTGTATCCAGCGACAGATTTTGTTTGCTTGTTTTTACACCAGAGTAGCTGAAACTGGCAAGCCCTGATGCCCAGCCTTTCCACCTGGGGTTTCACAAAAGCCATTTAGGCAATTAACTGCATGAGGATAAACTCTTTCATCTCAGGAGTAGTTGGTTCATTCTTCAATGCTGTTAATTCACGCAAGATGGCTCAGGGCATTCCTGAAGTAAAAGGGATAATTGAAAGTGTACCGATTATATTTTTCATGTAATGGATTAGATCAGTTATGATTAGTCCAAAATTAGCTTTTAAAAGCAATGCACAGTTGAACTCTGATAGGAATCTCAAGCCGACCCCTACAATTAATAATATCATCAAGGAGGTTGTAGGAGATAAGATCTTCCACTTTGGATGATATCCAAGTTAGTAACTGTCCCATCTGAATGCTAGAAAGCTACTGTACTTGCCACTACCTGCATATGTCTTGCATAGATAACAGCTAAAAAAAGCCTAGGGCCTGTTCATCATTTATAGAACTTATAAGTGTTGATCCTCAGTCACTCATTTAAAATGAGCTCCTAGCAAGCTCTCAAAGCTTTATCTCGACTAGGGACTCTAAAAGCCTGCTATAACAGAAAAAACCAAAACCTTTCAAGGGGGATATCGACCTGCATTAACTCAACTGACCCGTGGGGATTTTTAACTTTCTTTAGCACATGGAGCAGGATTGTTTTTAAGGGTTACTTTTTCATTGCTGCCCAGCTTCTTTGATGAATCACGTTACACAGGGATAATCAGCACGGTGGTGGTGGGGGGGGAGGGGGGAACGTAGTCTTCTGTCCCTAACTTTGCCATTTAAAATGCCCTGAGAGAAATCTCTGATTTCTAAAAACTCAAGTTAGCTGGAAGCAAAACTTTCTTGTTCTCGGGAAAGTTGGTTTCCGGCTTGACAGGCTCACCTCAAGAAGGTCCCACTTCTGTGTCAGTGCGGAGACTCTGTCCTCGAAGTCTGCAGGCAGGCTCGTCGCACTCCGTCTCAGAGACTCCACTCTGCTCAGGAGCTGGGTCTTCCTGGGGAACCACATGGCCATCTCTACACTGTTTCCCTGCAAGGGACACACAGCATCACTCACTACCCTGCAGGTGCTGCCGGGCTTGCATTGTTTGTTTCTTTTTTGCTTCTTGAAAGACATACATAGTTGATGTTGTTTTTAAAATGCTTCCACAGATCAGTTTTTGAATTGGATTCTTTCTTTTCCATTTTAATACATTCTTGTATTAAGCCACCCTAAGCATTGGTAGTAATCTTTACAGCCAGTACGGACACAGAGCAAATGTGTGGTCTTCTGTTTCCATTCAGACATTGCCCTCTCAAAAATAATGCTATTTTATAGAATGGAAAAAACGGAGTTGCTTCCTCACACTTATAATTTTTGTGTATTTAGGAAGAGATTGCTGATCACCTCTTTAACATTTAAGTTGATTGTGGCCAGAGTGAGTTTACACAGCTGAGATTTTGCACCTCTCAATCAAGCCTGACCTCTCCTAAAAAGGATTATCACATCACAAAGATAAGATCAGGCCATGCACAATGATAATAAGCACCGCCAAGGTTGTGATACTGTTGTTATTTAGTCTGCTTAGCTCTATTATTTCAGAAATTACTAATTTGAAGAAACTCTAGAGTTTGAAGAACACTTTGAGAAAGTACCTTGTAAAAACAAAAAGGGAGTAGGTTCATTCCATGCTGAAAAAAAGAAGAAAGAGAACACAACGTTTCGGCCGTGGAGCCTACCTCACACCTGAAGAAGGCTCCACGGCCGAAACGTTGTGTTCTCTTTCTTCTTTTTTTCAGCATGGAATAAACCTATTACTTGTTCCTTTGCAGCCTACGCATGCTGACGCAGCTACCCACCTGAACTACTAGGGAGTAGGTTCTACTCTTTGAAGAAGAAATGTTGATTTAAAAAAATAAATTTGAGGGATATTTTTTTCTAATAAATAACACAAAATGGACGTCAAGTTACAATACTACAGACTGTAATCATAAGGCAAAAAGCTGCATCTCAGTTTTCAGCAATACAGGTGTTCTTAGTAAAAAGTTTTTGAGCTTCTAATTTGACTGGATTGTTCTTCCTAACTCATTGACTGCAGAACAGACTTTGTCTTTGATGTGATATGTTATATTATGTCACACCTTCTTCTTCATTTTCTGCATCAATAGCTACTTGATTCGGTTTTTGGGCATCATTTATCATTACAGCCCACGCATATTCGAATATTTAAATGTGATCTTTTGTTTTTTCGTCAACAATTGGAGCTTCATTTTTCATCGTCTGCATGTGATGGACCTGACTTCACTGCTGGTTTCAGCCATCAATCCCTTTCATTTTTTAATTTTGGTGCAAAATGAAACTTGTTATTGTCTAAAAATAAAGGAACCATACAATTAATTTGTTGACAGCAAATATTGATTTTAAGAGCAAAGTTTGACGCATTTAAAAATCTAAAGAATTGTGGAATATTGATCAGGAGTTAAAATGAACACATCACTGGAGCAGTAAGATCTGTTTTTTTTTTTTAAAACACACACAAAACCTTGCCTTCACACAACAATGTTGATTTAAAAAATACATTTAATGAAGAGGATGCTGACTGATTAAATTAAAATTTAAAAACAGTCTGTATTGCTATATTGCTATTAAATGGATTTTTCAAGGAACTGTTTGATACGAAATGCAATATGTTTGAAATGTGCAGTATGCTCACAGAGACACATTAAAACGGAAGCAAGGCAAAATCAACAAGCAGTCATTACTTTTAATTCATTTCACATATTAATGGGTATGAAAGACTTTGAAAATGTCAGCAAAAATGCAGTCATACATGAAAACACTAATGTATTTTTTTGGTAGATTCATCTTATCCATTAAATTAAAGTTTGTTAAGAATCTGTAACATGTTAGGACCAGAGAGATAAAATTCTATGAACAGATTTTGAAACATTTGTTTTTAACTCCTTTTGTGCTGCTGCAGATAACTGAATCCATTCAATGTTGCTTTCTTAGGATGGCTGTTAAAATCATAGGCTGTAAAAGCAGACATGTATATTTTATACGTACCTGTGTTATTGCTAAATTGTCTATTCATACACATAAGGTCTTTTCCGACTGAGGTAGACGGAAAACCAAATACAAGCAAACGCTTCAGTGAACTGGGATATCCCAGCACACCACTCTCAGAAATAAAAATATTGTAAATCAAATGGAAGGAGCTTTTAAATTTTAAAGAAGTGGTAATATCAGTATATGTATTTTTTATCAACAGGGGTTTTATTTTCATCTAATCTGTCATGTGGCTACATACAGCACCTAGCACATCTCCACACATCTGCCAACACCTCATGGACACAATAACATTGAGCAGTGAGAGCCACAGCAGCCTGTTTTTAAAAGGTGATCATGAATACCAGTTAACATCCAAGGTGCTGTAGGAGGAATGGGTCCATTAAATATTTATAAGTCCACGATTATCATGTGGAACAAGAGACAGGAATTGTAGTGACACAGTGGCCACATCAACTGGCTTTTCACATTTTCTGCCTGACATTAAACCAATCCCAGAATAAAATTACATAAATCACTCTGCTCTGAGAGCTATAAAAGCTCACTGAGAGTGAAATGAGTTTAGACAGTCTCGTATGAATTTCAGGAGAATAGCATGCAAGTGATAACAAGATTAACATTATTATTAAAATCTATGGGCTCTGCCGCACAGCCAGCACAGAAAGACTCATCCTTTACACTGGTGACCTGTGTCTGATTGTAGTCTGAAGTCCCCAAGTGGACCCTGGTTCACAGCTACTATGCAATTCACTGCAGCAAGTCCCACACAAAAGGCCTGAATGAGGCAAAGCGTTAAATAAAGCAAACAACTGTCTTATGCCGTAGGTCCTCAAGTGAGGAGCTGTGGAGCAATACAATAACCAAGCCAGAAAATAAAAGTGCCACCAGGATTTCAGCACAACAGCGTGTTTATTCACTCTGTGGTGTAGGTGTGAGTGATTTATTTTTGATATGATAGTGAGGATGATTTTCCTGCTCCAGAATCATGTCCTCAGCTCTGCTCATATTCATAGTCAGAAAGACATGCCTTAACGCACAATCGCATGTGTTCGAAAACAGGTGGGGAAGAATATCAGCTTTAAAGAATGAGATTACAACACTGTGTATGTAAGGTTGCACTTCAATGTAGTACTGTAAATGTATTGGTATTCTTTTATACTTGTCCAGATACTATGGAAATGTTACTTTCTTTTGCTGTAACATATACATTTGAGAGATGATTTACAGTTGGGATCCAATAAGGGTTGAGTTAATATAAGGCGACACCAGTTTAGAAGCAGCAATTCATAATTATCTTTTGGGGGTAAAGGCCAAAGTTTATCATTACAGGATTGCCAAACCAGTAATCTACATATTTAGGCCAGAAAGATAAATCATTTGTTATATTCTTATTGACCTAAGCTAAGTGCTATTTTCTCTCAAAAGGTCATGAATGTAGGTTTGAAAATAACAAATTATACACAGATTACAATACAATACCTCAGACCACCGAGCAGTGCTACTCTCAAAACAATGGTTGTTCTAAATTTAATAGTTATATCTTAAATACTTTTTCAATGTTGCACATCCTAAATTGTATAACAAGAAAAAAACTTGATAAAGACTCAATTCACGAAATTTTAAGAGGTCCTGAAAGAAGAGGGTCCCCCAGCAGCGAGCAGACATTTGAGTTTACAAAACTGAAGGAAGGATGCAAAAGGAAAAAATGTTTACTTAAAAAAAAAAACAAGAGGCTGAAAAAGTTAAAGCCCTGATTGGAACAACTTTCTCAACAGTTTATGCTAAATGTGTGCTTTTGTAAAACAGTTTTCATGAAAAATCACGCCCAAAAAATTCTGCTCAAATGGAGACTGGAACAAAAGCTTTGAAACACTGTTAATTGTCACCATGGTGACCAGAAGAATAAGCCATTTTCAAACTGGTATAGAAGGCTCACATTGAGCGAGTCAAGCATTTTTTTATCCTCCCCTCAGTGTTTAAGAACAAGGTGCCCAGTCACGGAGGGGTCAGAGAAAGAAATTTCCAGCCCCACTCTAGATCTGATCTACCGTGGAATGTATTTTTTTTTTTAAAAGAGAGAGAGAGAAAAAATCTTTACATTGTAAAAAATACATTAAGTAGCTAAACAAATCAACCAAACAATGGATCTTTCAGGGAACTGGAATGCCAAGAAAAAGATGAGTCAGGAGTAGGATGGTATAGGGCCCTGCAAAGTTGTGAACTCTGCCCCACAGAACCCTGGGAATTCTCTCGATGTCATATAACTCCAGAACCAGCAGAAAACAATGGGCTGCACAAGGGAATTCAAATTGTGCGTTCAAAAAAAAGGAGAGGACAGTGCAGAGTTTTACGAAGTGTTAATGAGAATTTCAAAACAATCAATACACAAAGAAGGGTACAATAAACCCACAGACGTGTGGGGGAAAAACAGAAGCAGAAGAGCTACAGGACCTTTTAGAGCGACGTGTTCAGAAAGGCTCGCTGGACCCCTAATTGACACTGTAGCCACCCTTGGGGGTTTTTGGCATGGTGAACGATAAAATGAACTCCATTTGACACGTATTCCTGGCAATTTTTAGTATTTCTGCCTTTTTTTTCACTAATTAAAAATTGATGCTCTTTCCCTTGTCTGGAATATAACTAAGGTGTGTGTGTTTTATGGTGGCTCTTTCATGGTTTTCTCTCCTGTCTTCTTGCTAGGCTTCATAGTGACCCCATAGGAAGCCCATGGCTAATGCCATTCAGTGATGAACAAAGGCTGTCTTTATTCCCAAAGCCAGGGTCCTTAGCTCAGCTGCATACACACAGTGTAGGAATCTGTTTGAGGCCAGCTCACACTCTGCCTCGGCTTCTGCATTCTGGTGCTTAATTTTTTATGAGACAAACACTGGAAACAATACAATCAACAAAGATCAAAATGTGATTTTCTTATTATTCTGCCACTCGGACCTTTCCGACATAAAAAGAAAAGATTTTCCCTC